CAATTCCATTTGAGAATCTCCCCCTATTTTAAGTTTTCTAATATCCCCAGTCAAGATCCACCAATCTCATTAATCAGTCATCTGGTTTCTACATTTTGGTTCCCTGACCTTCCGACGTTATATAGAAATTGTGGACTCTAGTGCCACCTAGTGTTTCTCATTCAGTCCTTTAAAAAAGTTGAATTCAAATAACTATTGAGGCCTGGCATGTTGGCTCACGCCTGTAATCCCAGCACTTTGGAAGGTTGAGGTGAGCAGATCACAAGAGGTCAGGAGTTAGAGGCCAGCCTGACCAACATGGTGAAATCTTGTCTCTACTAAAAATGCAAATATTAGCTGGGTGTGGTAGTGATGCCTGTAATCCCAGCTACTTGGGTGGCTGATACAGGAGAATTGCTTGAAACTAGGAGATGGAGGTTGCAGTGAGCTGAGCTCACGCCACTGCACTTCAGACTGGGCACAGAGTGAGACGGTCTCAAAAACAGAAAGAAAGAAAAAAAGCTGGGTGTGGTGGTTCACACCTGTAAGTCCAGCACTTTGGGAGGCCGAAATGGGTGGATCACCTGAGGTCAGGAGTTCAAGACCAGTCTGGCCATCATGGTGAAACTCCATCTTAAAAAAAAAAAAAAAAAAAAAAGGCCGGGCGCGGTGGCTCAAGCCTGTAATCCCAGCACTTTGGGAGGCCGAGGCGGGTGGATCACAAGGTCGAGAGATCGAGACCATCCTGGTCAACATGGTGAAACCCCGTCTCTACTAAAAATACCAAAAAAAATTAGCTGGGCATGGTGGTGCGTGCCTGTAATCCCAGCTACTCAGGAGGCTGAGGCAGGAGAATTGCCTGAGCCCAGGAGGCGGAGGTTGCGGTGAGCCGAGATTGTGCCATTGCACTCCAGCCTGGGTAACAAGAGCGAAACTCCGTCTCAAAAAAAAAAAAAAAGAAGACTTTTGCTTTTTTTTTTTTTTTTTTTTGAGATGGAGTCTCACTCTGTCGCCCAGGCTGGAGTGTAGTGGCATGATCACAGCTCACTGCAACCTCTGCCTCCCGGGTTCAAGCAATTCTTCTGCCTCAGCCTCCTGAATAGCTGGGACTACAGGTGCGTGCCACCACACCCAGATAATTTTTATATTATTAGCAGAAACAGGGTTTCATCATATTGGCCAGGCTGGTCTCGAACCCCTGACCTTGTGATCTGCCTGCCTCTGCCTCCCAAAGTGCTGGGATTACAGGCATGAGCCACTGCATGCAGCCTTTTTTTTTTTTTAAAGATGGAATTTCACTCTTGTTTCCTAGGCTGGAGTGCAATGGCATGATCTTGGCTCACTGCAACTTCCACCTCCCAGGTTCAAGCAATTTTCCTGCCTCAGCCTCCTAGGTAGCTGAGACTACAGGCCTGTGGCACCTCACCCAGTTAATTTTTGTATTTTTAGTAGAGACAGGGTTTCACTATGTTGGCCAGGCTGGTGTTGAACTCTCGACCTCAAGTGATCCACCCACATTGGCCTCCCAAAGTGCTGACTGGAGTGAGCCACTGCCCCTGGCCCCATATAAGTATTTGTCAGTCAACATGTACAAATCATCTCTGGTCAGCTATGTGCAAGAGGTGCAATGACTCCTGGCAGAGAACTGAGTGGGGAGATGGAAAATACTCTTACCATGGCCGGGCATGGTGGCTCATGCCTGTAATCCCAGCACTTTGGGAGGCTGAGGTTGGCAGATCATTTGAGGTCGAGAGTTCAAGACAAGCCTGACCAACATGGAGAAACCCTGTCTCTACTAAAAATACAAAAATTAGCTGGAAATGGTGGTATGCACCTGTAGTCCCACCTACTCTGGAGGCTGAGGCAGAATTGCTTGAACCCAAGAGGTAGAGATTGTAGTGAGCTGAGATGGCACCACTGCACTCCAGCTTGGGCAACAGGGCAAGACTGTCTCAAAAAAAAAAAAAAAAAGGAAAAAAGAACATATTCTTACAAGACAACACAAGCTACTCTTAGTATTTGAGATAAGTTAAGTCAACTTAACTCAAATACTGAGAGTCAGGAAGGGCAGTAGAGAAGGGGTGAGAGTGAGAGGAGAGGACTCAGGCTTTGTGCATGTGCTTGTTTTGAATGAGGTCTTGAAGTAAGCCAAGTATTGAAGCCAGCTAAGTAACCCAAACACCGTCATTGTACAGAGTTTTATTTTGGTAGAAAGGGGATGCTTTATGCACATGTTAGGCAAATGTGGATTTGCTGAATGTTAAATTTGAAATTTCCTGTTTTGACCATTAGCTGACTACGAGAAAGGTTGCATCATAAAGAAGGGATCTTGGGCCAGGCATGGTGGCTTACACCTGTAATCCACCAAGTTAGGTAGATTACCTGAGGTTGGGCATTAGAGACCAGCTTGACCAACATGGAGAAACCCCTTCTCTACTAAAAATACAAAATTAGCTGGGTGTGGTGGTGCTGCCTGTAATCCCAGCTACATGGGAGGCTGAGGCAGGAGAATCGCTTGAACCCGGGAGGTGGAGGTTGCAGTGAGCCAAGATCTCGCCATTGCACTCCAGCCTGGGCAACAGAGCAAGACTTTATCTCAAAAAAAAAAAAAAAAAAAAAAAAAAAAAAAGAGAGAGAGAGACGAAGTTTTGCTCTTGTTGCCCAGTCTGGAGTGCCATGGCACAATCTTGGCTCACTGCAACCTCTGCTTCTTGGGTTCAAGCAATTCTCCGCCTCAGCTGCCCGAGTAGCTGAGATTACATTTATGCACCACCACGCCCAGCTAATTTTGTATTTTTAGTAGAGATGGGGTTTCTCCATGTTGGTCAGGCTGGTTTTGAACTTCTGATCTCAGGTGATCCAACCACCTAGGCCTTCCAAAGTGCTGGGATTAATTTTTGTATTTTTAGTAGAGATAGGGTTTCAACATCTTGGTCAGGCTGGTCTCGAACTCCTGACCTTGTGATCCATCCACCTCGGCCTCCCAAAGTGCTGGGATTACAGGCGTGAGCCACCGCACCCAGACAAGGGGAAAATATTTGTAAACCATATATCTTATAAAGGATTAATATAGAGAATACATAAGGAAAATGCAGGCAACTCAAATGGCAAAATAATAATAACCTGATTTTAAAATGGACAAAGAAATTGGATAGACATTTCTCAAAGGAAGACATACAAATACTCAACAGGTATATAAAAAAACACTCAAGATCACTGATCAGAGGCCAGGAGTTGAAGACCAGCCTGGACCACAAAGCGAGACCCTGTGTCTCTACAAAAAATAAAACATTAGTGGAGCATGGTGGTACATGCCTCTAGTTCCAGATACTTGGGAGGTTGAGGTGGGAAGATCAGTTGAGCCTGGGAGGTTAAGGCTGCAGTTAGCTATGATGGTGCCTAGCACTCCAGTCTGGGTGACAGCGACAGATCCTGTCTCAAAAAAAAAAAAAAGAAAGAAAGAAAAAAAAAATCACTCATCATAATAGAAATGCAAATAAAGTCAAAATGAGATATAACCTCACCCTAGTTAAAATGGCTATTATCAAAAGACAAAAGATAAGTGTTGGTGAGGATGTGGAGAAAAGGATGCAGAGGTCACGCCACTGCACTCCAGCCTGGGCGACAAGAGCGAAACATCTCAAACAAACAAACAACAACAACAAAAAACAAGCTGGCTGTGCAAAATTACGGGATTGGTAACAACGTTCTGAGGTGGCCGGGTGCAGTGGTTCACGCCTGTAATCCTATCATTTTGGGGGAGGCCGAGGCGGGCGGATCACCTGAGGTCAGGAGTTTGAGACCAGCCTGATCAACATGGTGAAACCCCGTCTCTACTAAAAATACAAAATTAGCCGGGCGTGGTGGCGGATGCCTGTAATCCCAGCTATTTGGGAGGCGGAGGTTGCAGTGAGCTGAAATCGCGCCACTGCACTCCAGCCTGGACAAGAGTGAAACTCAGTCTCAAAAAAAAAAAAAAAAAAACCAAAAACGGTTTGAGGTGAAAATGAGCCAAGCTGCAAAGCTTGCTCAGGAAACCCAGGAAGGCTAGCTGCAGAATGTTTTCGTGGCGGGAGCGGCTTAACCTAGGCCTTCTCCTAATTTAGGTAATTCCCAATCTTGAGATTTCAGCCCAAATGTCACTTCTGCAAGCCCTGCCGAGGAATGGCCAATTCCCAGGATCTACAGCCCTGTATTTTTCAGAGTCACCGAGTCTGGGCAAGGGAAGGACAGAATAAGAGCTATGCGGGTTGAGAAAGTTAAAGGGTCAGGAGTTCAAGACCAGTCTGACCAACATGGTCAAAAATAAAAATAAAAAATAAAATAAGCCGGGCGCGGTGGCTCAAGCCTGTAATCCCAGCACTTTGGGAGGCCGAGGCGGGTGGATCACAAGGTCGAGAGATCGAGACCAACCTGGTGAACATGGTGAAACCCCGTCTCTACTAAAAAAAAATACAAAAAATTAGCTGGGCATGGTGGCGCGTGCCTGTAATCCCAGCTACTCAGGAGGCTGAGGCAGGAGAATTGCCTGAACCCAGGAGGCGGAGGTTGCGGTGAGCCGAGATCGCGCCATTGCACTCCAGCCTGGGCAACAAGAGCGAAACTCCATCTCAGAAAAGAAAAAATAAAATAAAATAAAATAAAGTTAAAGGGATCCCGCAAACAGTCCCCGCCGGAATGCGAAGCGGATTCCAGAGTTCTTTAGCTCTGAGCAATGCCTGGGGAGCGATATCAGGGCGCAGAGCGGCCAATCGCGGAGCGGAAGTTTATCTCTGGAGCCCTTCTAGGAAACCCGGAGGACTCAGCTCGTCAATGATCCCGGGGCTGAAGCCTGGCATCGACTGGTGCACTTTGCTGTTCCAGGGTGTCGGCTTGGCAGGCTGCGGCGATATTGAGCTTGGGCTAGGGCAAGAACCGGCGAAAAGCAAAGCCGGAAAAGGCACTAGGGCGTTGGTGCGCTGACCACCTGTTCCTCCAGCGGAGTGCGACGCGCGCTGATTGGCTGGAGTGCCGCCCGGGTACCGGAAGGGGCCGATGCCTGTCGCCAGTGACAGCGGGACAACAGCTGTGGGCTCTGTGCGAGTGGCCCAGCAGCACGGAGCCTGAGAGGAGTGAGCGAGTGCGGGGCGGTAGCGGCCTGCGGTGAGACCTCATTCCGTCGCGGCTGTGGGGGGAGGCGGGGAATGGGCTCCCAACGCCCAGAGAGCCGAGCGGAAACCCTACGTTTAGGCCAGTTCTGACCCAGGTTCGCTGTATGACCTTGAACTTTATGCCTTCCCGTTCCCTCCGCCCCCGAGCCTTCATTTCCACCTGCACACAGAGAGGGTAGAGGGTGCCAGGACACCGCCAGGGACCGTCCTAGCTCTGGTTGGGTGCCTGTCAGCCGTGGAGACGGAAGAAGCAGGGCCACTCCCTTCTGTCCCGACGTGGGGACCAGTGGGAGCTGTGATTTTCTCAGACATTCCACCCCCAAGTAAACTGCTAGGACAAACTGACGGGCAGTGTCCAAAACTTAAGGTCTCAGTGGCAGATTGTGCCCTGTGCTGCCAGACCAGGATATTGGCTTATGAGGGGTGGTTGTGAAAAGGAGACAGGTTTGAGCTGCAAAGATAGAGCCTTGTTGATTATGGGTACCTGGGGGAGAACAGAGGAAAGGAAGATAACAGTGCCATAAATTAAATTATCACCCAGATTGGGAAAAGGAACTCATTTTTACAAACAGTTATTGACATCAGCTATGTGTCAGACATTATCCTAGGCTCTTTAGATACAATGATTAATGAAGTATCCAGGTAGCCATCAAGAATGTTGGAGAGACTGGATGAGGTGACTCATGCCTATAATCCCAGCACTTTGGGAGGCCTAGGTGGGAGGATTACTTGAGCCCAGGAGTTTAAGACCAGCCTGGGCAACATAGTGGGTCACTTTCTGTACAAAAAATAAAGAAATTAGTTGGGGGCCGGGCGTGGTGGCTCACGCCTGTAATCCAAGCACTTTGGAGGCCAAGGCAGACGGATCACCTGAGGTCAGGAGTTCAAGATCAGCCTGACCAACATGGTGAAACCCCGTCTTAAAAAATAATAATAATAAAAAATTAAAAAAAAGAAATTAGTTGGGCAGTTGGGTGTGGTGGCGCATGCTTGTAGTCCCAGCTACTTGGGAGGCTGTGGTGGGAAGATTTTCTTGAGCCTGGGAAGTTGAACCTGCAGTGAGCCTGGGCATTAGAGCCAAGACCCTGCCTCAGAAAAAAGGGAGGTGTTGCAGATTCATTATATACGTAAGACAGTTACACAAATCCATTTAACATTTACCAGGTGTCTGAAATATGCTAGGCACTGGGAATACCAAGATAAATGGAAGAGCATTGTTGCTTATGGTCTAGAGAAAAAAATAGGTATGAAAATTAATAATGCGGCTGGGTGCAGTGGCTCATGCCTGTAACCCCAGCACTTTGGGAGGCCTATGTGGGCAGATCACGAGGATAAGAAATTGAGACCATCCTGACCAACATGTTGAAACCCCATCTCTACTAAAAATACAAAAGTTAGCTGGACATGGTGGTGTACGCCTGTAGTTCTAGCTACTGGGGAGGTTGAGGCAGGAGAATTGCTTGAACCCAGTAGACAGAGGTTGCAATGAGCCGAGATAGCATGCGCCACTGTACTCCAGCATGGGTGAGAGTGAGACTCTGTCTCAAAAAAAAAAAAAAAAAATTAATTAATAATGCAGTGAGGTAGCTGCTACAAGGTGAAGGAGTAGCTGCCTGCCTTGGGGGTCAGGGAAGAAAATGGAGGGGTTGGCCAGGTGCAGTGGTTCATGCCTGTAATCCCAGCACTTTGGTAGACCAAGGCAGGGGGATCACCTGAGGTCAGGAGTTTGAGACCAGCCTGGCCAACATAGTGAAACCCTGTCTCTACTAAAAATAAAAAAATTAGCTGGGCATGGTAGTGCATGCCTGTAATCCCAGCTACTTAGGAGGCTGAGGCAGGAGAATTGCTTGAACCTGGGAGGCAGAGGTTGCAGTGAGCCAAGATCGTACCACTGCACTCCAGACTGAGTGACAGAGTGAGACTCCCTCTCAAAAAAAAAAAAAAAAAATGGAAGGGTCTGTCCATGCTTGAGCCGAGGCTTGGAGATGCTTGTGAAGTGCGCAAAGTAGGTAGTAGATTTCCAGGAAGTGGGAATAACTTGTTCTCAAAGGTAAAGATGCTTTAAAGAATAGAAAATGTTGATCTGCAGGACACTGAGCATGACTGCAGCTTCCAACGGTTAGTGGAGGGTGTGGGACATTAGATGAGGAAGGGAAATGGGTTTCCTTGGAGGGATGTTATGAGCCATGGGAAGAAGTTTTTATTCTGTAGGCTTTGGGGTGGAATAAACAGGAAGTGTCATGATAACTATAGTACAATGAAAGAGAGGAAAGGGCCAATATAGTGCTGGCTCAGAGGACCAAGAGAGAACCTCTTTCCTGCAGACATTAATGAAGACTTTGAGAAGGAGGTTATTCTTGTACTAGATATGGAATATTTGGTAGGATCTGGTCTTTCAGGGGTTAAGGAAAATAATTTGCATCAGTTAAAATGCTTTTGTCTGTAACAGAATCTAACTCAAGCTGGCTTTAAAATATGCAAGTATATAGGGTCTCATAATTGGAAGTCAAGAGGTATAGGCCGGGAATGGTGGCTCACATCTGTAATCCTAGCACTTTGGGAGGCTGAGGTGGGTGGAGCACCTGAGGTCAGGAGTTCAGGACCAGCCTGGCCAACATGGTGAAACCCCGTCTCTACTAAAAATACAAAATTAGCTGGGCATGGTGGCAGATGCCTGTAATCCCAGCTACTGGGGAGGCAGAGATGGAAAAATCGCCTTAGCTTGGGAGGTGGAGGTTGCAGTGAGCCGAGATTGCATCACTGCACTCCAGCCTGGGTGACAGAGCGAGACTCTGTCTCAAAAGAAAAAGAAAAAAAAGAGGTATACTGGTTTCAGGACTGATTTAATCCAGTGGTCCAGGTGGCATCTCCCTTGTTTTTCTTAGCTGTCGCTGCCCTCATCCACAAGCTGGTAGGGAGATGGCAGCAGCAGGTACAGGCAACAATATAGAGAATTATTGTCCTATGGTTCTCTCAGGATGGCAGGAAACTATTCCCAGAAGCTCCCAGCAAACTTCCTCAAAATACTGACCCAGATGAAGGTGGATGTCCATTTCTGAACCAGGAATTCTGCACCTTACTGTTTTGGAACCAGTCCCTTGCAAGAAGTAGGGAATTTATTTGACTGGGTTAACTCAGATGGAGTTTCCTGCTGGAATTCTTGGATGTGGTTAGATTTCTGGCAAAGAAAACAAAGCTACTGCAAATAGTTTTGCTCACATACCCCATAAAATAATTTTGGAAGGTTTGTATCTCTTTATATATTTGCACATTGACATCTAAAACATTTCCATTTTTCATCATAAATTTTAATGAGTTTCAAAGGATATTACTTTTGAGGTATTTAAATTTTTGACATTTCAAAATAAAACCTCATCCCAGTTTCTCATAAACCTTCCCTTGGTTACCTTCCCTTGGAGCACAAAGAATGTGCTCAGTGCCGGGCGCGGTGGCTCAAGCCTGTAATCTCAGCACTTTGGGAGGCCGAGGGGGGCGGATCACGAGGTCAAGAGATCGACCACCCTGGTCAACATGGTGAAACCCCGTCTCTACTAAAAATACAAAAAATTAGCTGGGCATGGTGGCGCATGCCTGTAATCCCAGCTACTCAGGAGGCTGAGGCTGGAGAATTGCCTGAACCCAGGAGGCGGAGGTTGCGGTGAGCTGAGATCATGCCATTGCACTCCAGCCTGGGTAACAAGAGCGAAACTCCGTCTCAAAAAAAAAAAAAAAAAAAAAAAGAATGTGCTCATCACATCCTTCACCTTCTCTGAAACCTCCATCTATTAGCATCTCACTCCTCCTTGTCCCCCTTCATTTGCATCCCTGTGTCACTCAGTCATCTTAACTCTGTTCTGACTAACCTCCCTAGGCCTCACCTCCTCAGTCTTCCACCACACACCTCCCTGGATTCTCAGGCTGCCAGCACCGTCACTGAAAGAAGTCAGGAGAGCATAGTGATTGGCCCTTCTTCACTCTGATGCTCTCCAGCATGCTTGTTTCATCAGGAGGTGGTGAGGGTTCATGTCTGTAAATTGCTTTGCACATAGTAAGAGCTTATCATTACTCTCCCCATTAAAATGTCAGTGCCTCCCTGCTCATCTTCCCTTCTTCCATATTTATCCCAACCTTGTGCATTCTACATTGAAATTCACATGTTTTTTCTGTTTCTTTTCTTACTCACCCTATACTTCCTGGCCTCTTGCTTGCCCACTTTCTGCCCAGAATGCTATGGTGCAGTAGTCTTCAAATGGAAATATAGGGAGGGGGTGCACAGACACTTTCTATAACATCTTTGGGCACATAGATTGTTGAATGGAAATCAACTTCTAGATCTTTGACTTTATTTTTTATCCTTGCCTATGACTGATTTGCTTAAGAATGGGCCTATTGGCAGGGCATGGTGGCTCATACCTGTAATCCCAGCACTTTGGGAGGCTGAGGCAGGCAGATCACGAGGTCAGGAGTTTGACACCAGCCTGGCCAACCTAGTGAAATTCCATCTCTACTAAAAATACAAAAATTAGCTGGGCATGGTGGCGCACACCTCTAGTCCCAGATACTTGTGAAGCTGAGGCAGGAGAATGACTTGAACCTGGGAGATGAAAGTTGTGGTGAGCCAAGATCATGCCACTGCACTCCAGTCTGGGAAACTAGCAAAACATCGTCTAAAAAAAAAAAAGACTGGGTGTGGTGGCTCACGCCTGTAATTCCAATACTTGGAGGCCGAGGTGGGTGGATGATAAGGTCAGGAGTTCAAGACCAGCATGACCAAGATGGTAAAACCCCATTTCTACTAATAATACAAAAAATTAGCCAGGTATGGTGGTAGGCACCTGTAATCCCATCTACTCGGGAGGCTGAGGCAAAGAATTGCTTGAACTCGGGAGGCAGAGGTTTCAGTGAGCCAAGATCGTGCCATTGTACTAGGTGACAGAGTGAGACTCTGTCTCAAAAAAAAAAAAAAAAAAAAAACGGGCCTGTAGCCTGTAG